GTTGGGGTCTCTGCTGTACAAGAACTGCGTAGCCTTCTTGGACGACGTCTTAATTTATTCGGACAATGAGGAACAACATGTTAGAGACGTCAGGAAGTGTTACAACGACTGCAGAAGCACCAGTTGTGGGTCAAGCTGCAAAAATGTCAGATTCACGCCAGAGAAGTCGAGTTTCTGGGGTACAAGTTGTCTGACAAAGGCTTAGCGATGGACCCAAGCAAGGTGCAGGCAGTGCTGGAGTGGAAGGCTCCCAAGACACGGAAGGACGTACAGAGGTTCCTAGGGTTCAGCAACTTCTACAGGAAGTTCATCAAGAACTTCGCCCACTTGACAGCGCCAATCACGGATTGTCTCAGTAGCAAAAAGAAGTTTGTGTGGACAGAAGAGGCCCAGCAATCCTTCGAAAAACTGAAGAAGGCGTTCACATCGGAAGAGCAACTCCTGCACGTAGATCTGGAGAAACCCCTGAGGCTAGAGACCGACGCGTCCGACAGAGCCGTGGGGGCGGTCCTTTGCAACCAGGGAAGGGAAAGCAGGAATGGAAACCGTGTGCCTTTTTCTCCAGAAAACTGAGCAAGCCGGAGCAAAACTATACAGTGTATGACCGCGAACTGCTGGCAATCTACGCGGCCTTTCGTCGTTGGCGTCATCTACTGATAGGGGCGCAACAACAGATCCAGGTTTGCACAGATCACAAGAACTTGGAGTACTGGAGAACCGCACGAGTACTCAACCAGAGACAGATCCGATGGGCACAGGAGTTCTCCAAGTTTTTCTTTGAAATCCGCTACGTGCCCGGAGAAGAAAACGTAAGAGCAGACGCTCTCTCGCGTAAACCGGAGTACCTGAAAGGAGAGGGGCCGCCGGAGAAACGACACGTGATCCCCGAGGACCGATGGGTGTGTGGGGAACTTTGGTGGGGAAACGAGAACTAGCCGGGCTGACCAGAAACGACGTGTTCGCGCAAACCAAAATCCGGGAACTACGAGACGGAAGAGGGACCCAAGAAGGGTTTGAGGAGAAGGAAGGGGTACTGTACCATAGGGAGCGCTGTACGTACCGGGGAGACCCTGAGGGAAAGGTACTCAAACAACTCCACGACAACCCCACAGCAGGGCACTTTGGACAGCACAAAACCATGATGCTGGTGACCAGGCAGTTCTGGTGGCCCAGGGTGAGGGAGGATGTACGGGAATATGTACGGGGTGCGACCGCTGCCAAAGGGCAAAGGGGAGCGGGCTGCCCCCACAGGATTACTGGAACCCTTACCCATGCCGGGAAAACCCTGGGAGGTGGTATCCATTGATTTTATGACAGATTTGCCCAAGTCCCGGGGAAGACAGCAGTCATGGTAGTGGTCGACCTACTGACAAAAATGTGCCACTTTATAGCTTGCTCACATGCTGTAACGGCAGAGGAAACAGCCCGGTTGTTTGTGGAGCACATATTCCGGCTGCATGGCGCCCCCCTTGAGGGTTATCTCCGACCGCGGAAAACAATTTACTTCCCGGTTCTGGAGGAAACTCATGAGCTTACTGCAGGTGGAGGTGGGTTTCTCGACGGTGAGACACCCAGAGACCAACGGGCAAGCAGAAAGAGCGAACAGTATACTCCAGCAATACCTACGCTGCTATGTCAGCGAGAGGCAGAACGATTGGGTAGAAAAACTAGCGCTGGCTGAATTCGCGTACAACAACGCGGAACACGTGTCCACGGGAATGAGCCCATTCATGGCCAACCATGGGTGTCATCCCAGGGCCTTCCCGGGGAGGAAAGCTGGAGCGTACCCGCCGCAGAGCAGTTTGTGGAGGAAATGGAGGCCCTACACCAGCAACTTAAGATGAACTTGGAGCGGGCCAAGGAAACTTACAAGAGGCAGGCAGACAAGCGCCGCAGGAAGGGGAGACCATACGGGTGGGGACCGGGTGTGGTTGTCCACCCAAGGGCTACCTTTCAAAGGGGGTGCAAGAAGTTGCAGCCCAGACGGCTGGGACCTTTGAGGTAACACAGCAAGTTAATCCCGTGGCATTTAAGCTCAGGTTGCCTGATAGCATGAAAATACACCCGGTTTTCCATAGGTCCCTGCTTTCACCGCATAGGGAAGGGCGGGAATTCCAGGGGCAAGAGGGAGAAGTCACCACACACCCGCAGGTAGAAGAAAGGGAACACCACCACAGGGCCACGGAAATACTGGACTCAAGGTGGCAAGGGCGCCAGGTGGAGTATTTGGTAGCGTGGGAAGGGGAACCCAGGTCCGAAAACACGTGGGTCCCCACGGAAGCCGTCGAGGACAGGTATCTGGTGGAGGTATTCGACCACCGGTTCCTGGACAAACCCAAACCCCTGGAGAGATTCTGGGAGGAGCAATTTGGAACCACAGATGAGGAAGAGGTTTTTGAGGGATTTTCTGACTCCGAGGAGGGAGGAGAGGTTTCGGAGGAAGAAGCATCAGACGGGGAAGACCACCCCGGTGGTAGGTGGAAGAGCGATTGGGAAGCGGGTTTCGAACCCACGGAAGATGGTGACAGTTCCTTCCGGGGGGTCCCCGCCTCCTCGGCCGACGACGGGGACGAGCTGGTCCCACAGGTCGGCCCAGGGGTGGAGGGATTCTGGGGAGGTGGATGTCAGGGAACTGACATCAGAGCGAGAGGCGAAGGGGAGGCTCCTGGATGATGCTGGAGAAGGACCCAGCAGCAGGGGAGAGGCGACTCAGTGGAGGGGAAGCATTTAGCGCAACACCAGGAACAAAAGTGAGCAGATGGGAAAATCGGAGAGAGGGCTCACGGACTCTTCACTTGAACTCAGTGAGGAGGTGACAGGTCCCCAGCTACACACGCCCACCCTGCGCAGAAGGCTCCCGCGCAGTGAGAGGCGGAGGCGATTGGGTGTCAAACACCTCTTATGTTGGAAGAGATTCAAGAAACGCCCACTGACGGATTCTGCTAGTGTCTGAGACAGTCCTGATC